AGACAATCCGGGGACATACTGTATATCTGTATGTAATACAACACCCTGTATTTTTTTTAAATAAATTAAAGCAGATTCAAATGCTCTTTCAAACTATATTAGGGTTTCCTATACCTACCTATCTAGCTTAGATTTTGAATAAAAAGCAATTTTTCAATAAAATGACAATCAAGATGGCTAGTGTCGCCATGGCAATTTTCTAGTGACAGTTAGTAATTATTTTCAAAATCGACGTTAGTTTATGGACATTATTATGTAGATTTATAACAGTTTATTTAAATTTACCTACAATAGTTTAGTAAGTAAGTGTTCATTATTTTATGAAGAAAAATAAAGCAGTTTCTAGAGGTCTGACGATTTTATTTGGGGGAAAATTGCTTCTTGGCCTCAAGGGCTTATGCTCAAAGATATTCAAATAGGAATCTTCCTGATAAGCGTTCCTTTGAAAAACTAGTTGGCCTATTTCGCAGAGCTATTGTAGGTAAATTAAATAAAAGAAAACTGCTATAAATTTAAATGAACTCCATAAACTAATTTCGATTTTGAAAATAACTTCTGTCACTGGTAACTTGCCATGACGACACTAGCCCTCTTGGTTGCCATTTCATTGAAAAATTGCTATTTATTCCAAATCTGAGCTAGAGAGCTATAGAAAACCCTAATATAGTTTGAAAGAGCATTTGAATCTGTTTCGATTTGTTTTAAAAAATAGTGTGTTGTTTTTGAAATAACAAAGTTGTATGTAAAATAAATATTTCAAAAAACCAACAATTTTTGATACCCCTGTATACATTAAACGAAGCAATCATGTTTTTCAATAAAGTTTATTTCTCTGGCTTAAAAATTAGCACAAGAATTAATTCTGAAAAGCAATGTACAGGGTGTTGACAATCTTTTTTATTACAGCATGCATATTTTAAAATATGAAATATATTTAAATATCTCAAAAATCAAAGCTTATAAACATATTTAATCCTTATAATAAATGCTTTATTTGGTGTTCAAAGATCCAAAAATGAAATAAAATACTGGGTGTTCCATAAGAAAATGTATAACTTTGGTGGGGATCTTAATTCTGACACACCTTGTACATTTCAAACTAATTTTAAATTATGCATATTGTCTTCCCATATACCAATAAAATATTTTGTTTCTAGATCTTTCCGTTTTCATTATAATCCAACCGAGGCGATTGAAGTGCGCCACCCTGAATTTTACCCCATCTCTTCTTTCCACCAGCCACTGTTAAAATTGCCTTATATCTGCGAAAAATAGTAGATAAAATAGTACTTTAACCGCAGGGGTAGATTAAATGATACTTTAACAGCGAGGATAGGTTAAAAACTTTATTTCTTCTCGTACGTTTTTTAATTGCTTCCATTTTTGAGAATTTTTGTATTTCTTTTCATAAATTATCCGGGATTTAAATGGAAGTAGTTTGGATATGGCGTTTGCCGCCTCAGCCTGAATATCTGTTGGTAATTTACTTATTTCGTTTTGAGCCATTTCTGGTTCCAATTCAATCAGCAATCTACACGAAAGAGAATTAAAAAATATTGACTCAAAACTAACAGCTAAAGAGACAGCTTTATTTATTTGTCAAATTACATAGAAACCAACGCCAACCCAGCACAATATTTTTTCTACTCGTAATAAATTTCTTGAAATAATAATTTCTGAATATTTTTTAACGTAACTCGCTATGGAAAAAATATTGTTTTTATACTCTCGAAATTAATTCACTCTTGAATTTTGTCAACTCCTGGATTAATATTTTCGGGCGACAATAAAATACCATTTATCGTCTTGTATAAAAAATAACTATTTTGTTCTAATTTTCTACGTATTAAAAGGTAAGAAAAACTAAAAACCATACCTTTGCACTTTATCAGAGAAAATCATCCAACTCTCAACTTGAGAATTGATTTTTAATTCCAAAATATGACTCTAGAAATATAAATAAATATGTAATGAGTAAAAGGCCAATATATTTCGTGTTTACTTTCAACACACACCATTAATAAAATCTGTGACAGCCGGTGTATGTAGTGTTCAACGTTAAAAGCAGCCTTATCGACTTTGTGTTCTAAAAAAATTTGTTAATGTTTTGCTGTGTTTTCACCATCATCAAAGCATTTCATTATGTTCTTCTTTGTGAACAAAAAGGACAGAAGTTTTCTGTCCTTTTTCCATTTAGGGCCTAAAAAAATTTGAAATAGTTTAGAAATTTAGTTGGTATAAATTATTTTTAAACTTCTACCTGAACCAGCAATGAGGGACTGTCCTTCGAAGACTTCTATAAACTTGTAAACATCGTCTTTGTAGGATAAGTTTGTAGAAGTAAAATTTTCTAAAAACAACAAAGTAATATACAGGGTGTTTCAAAAAACATGTCATCTCTCGTGGGGAGATTCCTCACATAAAAATAAGACTTATTTTTGATATCAACATAGGTCCGATTCTGCTTTGTTTCGTAGTTACAGGGTGTTAAATTCTTAATATTTTTTCGATTTATTATAATTTTCTTCCAAGTAATGTTAGCGTTTCGAATGAAATTTTTAGGGTAAAAGTTGCTATAAATGACAATATATTTTAAAGCTAAAAAAGTGTCGACATATTCACCAGGGACGTGCATATGGGTTATCACTGGAATATTTATCTAAAAAAAGCATGTACGCCACTGACATTGTTTTCTCTTGTTTGCTAAATAGTGTAAGCCGTTTAATGCCGATTAAAAGTTGTCTCTTGATATTTTGTCGATTTCGGCCTCCTTGATGAGATAACGCAATTTTATTAATTTTCCTGACCAAGTCTAATAGCGACCTTTAAAAAAATTGAATAACATTAACTTGCGAAAGTTTTAAATATGTAGTTATGGATTCCTCATCAAAAAATATGAAAAAAAGTTCCTACAAACATGGGTATGGAAATGCATAGTTTTAGAATTACAAGATGTTAAAACTTTTTAAAATTAGGTTTTTTGTAATAATTATCTCAAATACCATTATTTTTTTATTTGAAATTGCTGTAGGTTGGACTAATAGTAATAATATTTATTAATAAATTAGGTAAAATATATAATTCATTAATTTTATTTTTATTTTAATTTTATTAGTTGTGATTAATAAAATTGCGTTTATCTCATCAAGGAGGCCGAATTCAACAAAATATCAAAAGATAATTTTTAATTGACATTAAACGGCCTATACAAATTTGATATCAAAAGGAAAAAAGTCAGTGGCGTGTATGGAAGATGACGAAACAATGAAGCACGTTATGTGTACCTGCCCCGCTGGGGGCAGTACCAGGATTGAGGTGTTTGGCAAAACCACGCTAGACCTATCAGACCTAGGAGACACATCACCCTCAGACATAACGGCCTATGTTAAAGGGCTGGGTCTTGAGGGTGACCTTTAATGCACTTTTTCTATTAAAGAGCTTGTAGAAACTGAGCCACAATAGGCCCTCGCGGCCGAAGTGGAGGGTCCCACCTGCGGGATCCACTCTTAGTCAATACAATACAATACAAATACAATGTTTTTTTTAATATTCCAGTGATAGCCCATATGCACGTCCCTGATGAATTTATCGACCCTTTTTTATATATTATGTAGCACTTATAGTAAATTTTACCCTCAAAATTTCATTCGAATCACTATAAGTACTTGGAAAAAAATTACAATAAATCGAAAAAATATTTAGACTTTAACACCCTGTAGCTACGAAACAAAGCAGAATCGGACCTATGTTAATATCAAAAATAAATCATATTTTTACGTGAGGAATCTCCCCATGAGAGATACCACATGTTTTTGAAACACCCTGTATAAAAATTTATGTAATGTAAGAAATCCTAATTATAATACAACAGGTAAACAAAAAAAACTGATGTCAATTTAGCAAAAAAAGTCAAAAAGCAAACAGCAACAGTTAAATCCAAAAGTAACAATCAAAAGACAAAAGGCAAAGAGCAATAAATAAAAGTGAGAAATTTGTTTCTACTGATTCCCAACCCAGTGCCTTTTAGCGTAAAAATAGTTATTTTGTTTTGCTGTCATAAAGTTTTGACATCAAAATTTAACTAAAATTCGAACAAAAATATACCTATGTCGCGGGGCATCTGTACATCAACAATGTCTGACTAAAAATGTATTTAATTATTTAAAATTCAAAGACGCAATATTTTATCATTAATTTTGTATTCATCTGAGTTACCTCATTTAAGCACCTGTCATTGGGTAAGGTGTCATTGTAACATTTTAATAAGCAAATTAGCATTGTACAAATACCTCCTAAGTGTTAAAATTGAAATATATTTTTAAATAATACTCTTCCCTAAATACTCAACTTCTTATGAACTTTTTTACAAAAATATTGAAAAATTTTCAACGATTTGTGATACATTTTTAAAATTAATTTAGTTAAAAATTAACTTAAATTAAGATAAAAATGTGACAGAATTTAAGACTATTAAATTATTTTAACATACCTCCACTTGTGTAGCATCTTTAAAAATTATCGAAAATTTTGGACCAAACCAAAAACTCATTGGACTTGGGTATCTTCGAAAAATACCCAAAGAGTGGTCGTACATATCTATTTTAAAGAAAACGAAAAAAAGTATAGGTATAATAATTTGAAGAGTGCCAATCGGAAATAACCTTTAAACTAGATTACTAATAAATAAGAAAGAATTACTAATGGTCAAATTGGCACCCTGTATAATATGACACTTAAGAACAACAAAAAAATTATATTCTTAGTCAATCTTACCTTCAGGAGAGCACAACAACTGTAATCCGTTTCCTATGACAGGTAAGGATATTGGTCCTGGCAGCTTTAGGGACAGTCTGTACATTCTTCTCTTATTCCAAAAATAACTCATGAGTAACAGAAACAGAGTGATGAGAATTCCAAAAACATATGCCGAAACAAACATCTAAAAAGTTATGTAAAATATGTATCTTAAAGCGTTTTCAGTAAAAGATTAATTCTATCTTGGCACAGTTCTAAATGTCTACAAAGACAATAATAGTATACTGTATTTTATTAGGAGTAAAAATGACACTTTTTGGGACGAGGGTGTAGGTTTGACTAAAAGCTGAAACTTTACCAGAATTTTTTTTTCCTGAACGATATTTTCATGGTAAGTAAAAAGAAAAAATATTTTTAGTACATATAAACAAATATACTTACCTTGTAATGATATGAAAATTAATATACAGAGATGTTGTCAGCAAAAAAACCAAATGTTTACTAAACTTTAAATGTTATCGGTTGAATGAAATCGATGTCAAGAATGGTAACGCATACGTAATACAAAATCGTCTGCAGATGACCAACTTTAGACCAAGAGCAAAAGCCACGTTCCCACTAATATTCTCTTCTTGTGTGTTGAATTAATCGTCGCGTGTTTATTTTGTCACTTTCATATGCATCTAATTGCCTGTAATACAGGCCAGCATCTTACAGGCAGAAATCTACGCTATCGAAAGATGCGTACAACTTATCTTAGATAGGAACTGCCGGAAACAAGAAACAGCCATCTTATCTGATAGTCAAACAGACTTAAAATCGATCAATTCAGTAACAATCAATTCGAAGTTGGTCAAAGAATGCCTAGGTCATCAGATGATTAAAACAATTT